TGAAGGCATTAAGGAATCTGGTAAGGAAATATCTCTGAAACAATAACCCAAGGGATCAGAGACTGTCTAGTTTTACATAAGAGTGATGGTTCCATTTCATTTTGATTCTAAGGCTCTTCTTTGCCCTTTTAGTAAACTCTCTATTCTCTGCAGAATGTTATTAGGTATAGTTTGATAATGTCTATAGAAGAACAGAATACAGATAATCTGTGATTTACAACCACAATTGAATTCAGAATTTATGTTGCTAAGTGAGAAATTTGTTAAGTGAGTTATATCCCATTTTACAACTTTTCTTGTCACATTTGTTAAGTGAATCACTACAGTTGTTAAATTAGTAACACAGTTGCTAAGGGAATCTGACTTCCCCATTGACTTTGCTTGTCAGAAGGTCACAAGAGTGGATCACGTAGTCTGGGACACTGCTACCGTTGTAAATATGAGACCAGTTGTCAAGTATCTGAATGTAACCCATGTGACCAAGTGCATGCTGCAAGGGTCATAAGTATGAAAAATGATTATAAATCACTTTTTTCAGCACCGTTGTAACTTTGAACAGTCACTAAACAAACTGTTGTACGTCAAGGACTACTATATTACATTGTAATTGAGGTGACCTCATCTATACCCAAATATTAATTTGTACATAATGTTGTTTGTAATACCTTTACTGTTTTTGTTTGATGCTATGTTGACATGAAAAAACAGTTCCTAGCAGTGGGATAATTTTTAATGTTTCCCTTCCAAGTATGTGTGTCTGTGCATTTCATTCATTTATTCATTCCTCACATCTCAGAAACAATTTTTCTCATACTGTCACAGAGAAGAAGATTCAGAATGTGAAAAGCATAAGAGAATCTGGTACTATAGCACAAAAGCCCAGCTGGCAGAATTATCTGAATGCCTAGACAAAGATTATTGGGAAGCTGATATCTGCAAAACTCTGGAAGAAATGCATGAAGAAATTCATCGGCACATGGACATAACGGAAGACCTTACTAATAAAGCACGTGGCAGCAACAAGTCTTTTCTCTCAGCAGCAAATGGTAAGAACCAATTAATCTTACCTTTTTAATTACTGATAAACACATGTTGATCGTGTTGATTCATATTTGCAAAAAATAGAATTGTGAGAAAGATGTATTAACGCAAAAGGGTAGGATAAAAGGCACAGCTAATTGGAAAGAGGATCTTCAAAATATTTGAGAAAGCAGTATTTATTTGCAAAGCCTAATAATTGTTGGATCCCAGAATACTCAAAAAAGTGTGCAAATACAGCTGAGATAAGTAGCTTTTAATGGCAATGGAATCCATTTGAGAAGATTCCATTAAATCTTAAGTGCCATTGTAGAACTTTTGAGGGATGACAAAAATAGACTTGTATATGATGAAAGCACCTGTGGCTCACAAAAGGATTGTTCCTTTAATAGAATGTGCTAGTCATTCTGTTACCAGAGTCCCAACCTGGGGCTATCATATATCTCCTTCAAATAGTGATTCATGTTTTCTTGATTTCAAACACACAAATACCCCCAATTTTTGAAAACCAAGACAGATAATTAAGATGTAATTCATTGCATCTCTATATATATTACACATTAATGATTACATTTTAAACACTCAAATCCTAATAAGATATAATACACTAAAAAGGCGTTTGTCTGAGTATAGTCCTTTTTCTGCTCCCCACCCCTATATACTATGTAGATGAAAAACCAAGAAGCCACAGTTAAGCATAGCTTTCCATTATGCACAAACAGGAAATACAGTTAATAACTTTTAAGCAAGCCAGGTCTATTTGTAATCTGTTGAACCGTTGTTTTAGAAATAAGACATAGGAAACAGGTTTATTGTGTCTCGCTTATTTCCACATTTATGGGATTAAGTGAACAAAATGACAGCTAATTGCAACTTGCTGAACACAACAAAAGTGATTTTTTTGTTTTATAAATTTAGAATAATTGAATGAAAATAATTGGGGGGTGAAAACTTCCTGTAACGTAGGTATGATGTGTATGTTGGCATTATTATTCAATAGAGAATGTATGCAACCTCATATCAATAATGGCCATTATCTCTCTGGGGAAGCCAGCAGAGAAAGATTGCAGATGGCAATCAAATGATTGCAAGGCACTTGGCAACCAGCTGTACATGCAAACAGATTGCCATATGTCCGGATTGCAATCATTTGACTGATAGTGGGGGGAAACACTGCAGTGGCTATACTTTCAGGGAATGGTCGTAAGTCCATTTATCGTTGTTACTCTGAACAGTCACTGAACAAATTATCATAAATCGAGGCTCACCTATAAATTTTTTAGGTGATCTTGGTGATGGGGTTCATCAAGGCATCTTTTGGTTGGTCTTCATTTTGCATTTGGATACTGTTTATTGTAATGTGCCATTTAAAGAATGACTGGTGTCATATTTCTAGCCATTGGTTAACTTAGTTTTTCAAACTAATATATTGTTTTATTTTTAAAAATGTTAGTGAGTTAGAATGGTGAACATTTGTATTTCCTACCGTGTTTCCACGAAAAAAAAAACCATCCCAAAAATAAACCCTAAGTTGATTTTTACATGTGCAACTAATATAAGCCCTATTCCCCCCCCCCCAAGAATAAGGGGTAACTAAGACCCCGCCCACTCGGGTACATAGGGTGGGGTGAGGTGCATGAATAAAAATTTAGTTAGGGTGGTGTAAGGGGTGGAGCTACCCTACTACTTACCAGAAGTTCCTGAAGGCCTCTGACAGTGAAAAGGAGGCCGGGGGGCAACACACACAAGTGAGGTGAGTCAGTGGAAGATATCCCCTCCAAAAATAAGACCCGGTACCTTTTTTTGTGACAAAAAATTATAAGACCAGGTCTTATTTTCAGAGAAACACGGTAATAATCATTGCCTTTGACTCTGTGAAATCTTATTAATATGGATTTTTCTGCAAATTGTTAGGTTACTAGCTGTATATATGGATTTTTCTGCAAATTGTTAGGTTACTAGCTGTATATAGTCTTGACAACTATAACTGGTATCTCTATCTGAGTTCTGCTTTGCAATTACCAACTATTTCTTTTGACCTGACAGTGTATTTCTTTAATAGATTTGTTTTTATTTGTTTGAACCAGATTTATAGTTCAAGGCCCCTCATTTAGTTCTGATGTTTTTCAAATATTACAGTGAATAAACACACTGGGAATGGAGTGGATTAAATTAATTATCTTTCCTCTTGGGGAAACTCTTAGCTGAAGGTTCATTTAACCCCACCGTCCCAACTAATTTTCAGTTAGGGTAGAGATTTCCTTGTGTATCTAAGAGAAGATACCCAGTTTTTAGGGCCCTATAAAAAGCTAACAGGGTTGGCAAGGTTATGCTGCCAATTTATATTCCAGTTTCTGATTTGTTTATGGTTCTTAAAATAATTTCTGTATATAAATTGCATAAGAAATGACAATTGAATTATGCCACATACTTTTTACACTCTACAACCAGTTTACAGAATATTTCTACATTCAATACATCAAAGGCTTTACAGTAGTACAGATATGCTTTCTTTTGAAATGTCCAAGTTCTATTAAACATTTGCAGTGTGATCTCAAGGGCCTCTAAAATCACCAGAATCTCATTTTGCATGATGGGACCCAGTTATATGATTTTCCACAACATCTAACATCAGGACTTTCATGCATTGCTTGGAGCAGGCTCATATGTCACCCGTCTTTTGGGATTGGAATGAACACTGACATTTTCCAGTCTTTCAGCCATTTACTGATATCCCACTTTTTTGACATAATTTTACAGTTGCTGCTGTGGATATGATGATACCAATGCCATCAATTCTAGGCATTTTCATTTTTGACAGATGTTTCAATGTCTATATTATCCTCACCTTCCGGTACACTGGGCTCTGCTTCAAATTTCTTGTTGTTAAAGAACATTAGTAGTCATATACAATTCCTCAGTCTGTTCCTTCCATCTATTTTTCATTTGATTCCGATTTTTCACTTCCTTCCCATTTCTGCCTCTTTGTTCCTCTATGTAGAGTGAATAGTGTCTGGATTTTCTTTATTAAGACAAAAAGATATCTGGTATGTCCTTTTTCATTTCTATCTTCCATTTCTATGGATACCTCATTCCGGTAATTTTCTTCGGTTTCTTTTTCTAGCATTATATTAAAATCTTTTATTTATCTATCTTGCTTTATCTCTTTTACCAATGGTTTTAGCTTTCCTACTCTGTTTGGCAATTTGAATTGTTTTTCTCTGAAAACAATTTGCCTTCATATTGGAAGGGTGGGTTGGATTAGATAAATCATATTTCCTGGATGTTCATGTACAGTTTCAAGGTAAATTTGAGACCAATTTTGATACAGGTCATCCATGATTAAAAGTCATGGTTTGCAGCAGCCTAAGTTTTATGAGAGAGATCTCTGCTTACCATTTTGATTAAATAAACCATATAGTGGTGATCCCCAGCTGGTTTTCTTGACAGAAGCGCATCAAGTGGTCACTTGCCTCATTCTTTTCTCCTAAAATAAATCTGCTGACAGTTTCCACTTCTTCGTCTCCAGTGTTCAGATTGAAATCTCCCACATTATATTCTTTTTGCATTTGCATTAGTTATTTCTTGAATGTCAGCATACAACTCTTATTTTTTTTCTTCAGATATTCTGTATCTGTTATTGTTGCATAAATATAGAAAATTACAGGTATTCCTTGCGTTACAACCATAATTGGGACCAGAATTTCACTTATAAACTATTGCAATTATAAGTTTGAGGCACCATATGACTGGAACTGACATTTCTGAAAAAGCCACCCCATTAAAAAAAAGGTAGAAAAAGTTAATGATGTGCACAATGCTGCATAATTACCAACTGTCAGTTGTACTCAGTTCATTTTCACGTATAGATCTGCCACATATATACTTCTGTGTCTTGAAAGGGTGGACTAGAACATATCAATGGTACTCTTATACTTGAAAACGTTGTCCTTGATTCATCTTCTACCCCCATATTTGCTTTAGAAGAAATTATGGAAGCTGTCAGAGGCAGAAAAGGGGAACTATTAGAAGACAGAAGCTCAGTTGCTGATGAAGAAAAAGGTACGGTTGAAAATAAAGAATGCACAGATACTGAGAATGGAAAAGAAGACCTTTCAAACCAACAGATGGAGGTCAACAAAGAAATAGTAGCAGAGGAAAATTCTGAAAAAGGAGGAAAGGAAGGTAATAGTGATACGCCTGCTTAGTTAATGTATTTGTTTTAGTAGCAATGCTGATACATTTTAAACATTTTAAATTTTATAATCAATACAGCTATTTTTTCACTGAATCAGGTGTAATTTTCCAGTGATGCTATTCAGGACAGATGATACTAGCAGATTTTTATGAATTTATTTTCAGTTCAAGTTCAATTAACATTGTTCACCACCAGTGAGTTATTTATAAAAATAATAAAGATAGGATATAAATCTTTAAAAAGATTGTTAAATCAATATTAAAAATGCTTATGAACTTTTATCATGTGTTTCTTACAGAATCATCAGATGCGTGTGAGGAAAACAATTCTGGACTATCGCTTCCTGGAAGCAGCATCCCAAATGTTCCTGCAGAAGAGGCTGATCCTTCTGAAGGGAAGAACACAGTAGGATGCGATTCAGAAATTTCTGATGATAATAAGGCAGACAAAAACAGAGTATCAGAAGTTCTTAAGGATATTTCAGGTACATAGATGGTTTTGTTTTTTGTGTCTTGAGTTGAATGAGTAGTTTCCTAAAGTTAAACACTGTTTCCTTTTCTTTATCACGGTATAGTTATTAAGTTTAGAGTTTATTGAGCTGTGGTGATGCAGTGGTTACAATGCAGTATTGCAGGCTAATTCTGCTGACTGCCAACAGTTTGATTCTCACCAGGCTCAAGGTTGACTCAGTCTTCCATCCTTCCGAGGTTGTTAAAATGAGGACCCAGATTGTTGGGGGCAATATGCTGGCTCTGTAAATTGCTTAGAGAGGGCTGTAAAGCACTATGGAGCAGTATATAAGTTTAAATGTTGTTGCTATTTTTGGAGTTATGGTTGATTTATATGTTTTTTTTACTGTTTTACTTTCCATAAGATACACAGTTTGATTTAGTGGTTAGAGGAACCAGGTTAAAAACCAGGAGACTGTGATTTCTAGATCTTTAGGTATTTTGTGACTCAAATCAGTCATTCATTTTCTGCCTTAGGGAGAAGGCAGTGCAGACCACTTCCAAAAATATTAGCTAAAAACCTACAGGAACCTAACTAGGCAGTTACCAAGAATCAAGACTGACTCAGCAGCACAAATTTAGTTTACATAAACTGGTGCAAAATTAATAAACGTTGGTTAAATATGTTTAATGAACATCTTTCACATTATTGTATTTGCTAGTTATACTAACTGATAGTATAATGATGCTGATTGTTTAATTCTGGTATTTATAATAAAATATAAATGACATGATTTCGATTATAAAATCCAAAATCTAGCTATCTTGTACTAAGAATTGGGGATTAAAACTTCCTAGTGGGGAAGATTATTAATTACAAAGTGCCCAAATTCCTCCAGTTTCATAACCACCTCTTAACTATATTTAATATTATGACATCAATTTCAGATGGTGGCTTTGTCAACATGGTTTCTTGAAATAAACTCTAATTAATATTAAGTACATTGTGAGTAGGCAGTTGTCTTCCCTTATAACTTTCCTCATCTATCTGCCCTCCCCCGCAGTTCCAGTCTAAAATAATATAGATATTTATCTATCAGATATACGAGACTTATGTAACTTTCTGATTTCAGATGATAATGTTCTGTATTGGAAGTGTTCTTCAGGTGAATACTACATACCTAAATTGGCTTTTTTCTTTTCTTTTCTTTTTTGGGTAGATGAAACAACTAAGGCAGTTCCTAATCTGAACATTGATTTATCTGCTGAAGCACTTTTGTCAGACCCAGAAAACAGCAGTAGCAATGAACCAAATTCTATGCAGAGTGAATCTGCGAAGAATTCTGATGAAGTGGAAATCACTGAAGGAGGTTCTCAGAACTCAGATGATTTAGGTACAAATAATGCTTAATAATCACAAGAATGTACTGTGCTAATTTTTAGTGTAAACTGGCTGTGCTCATTTGCTTTACTTGTATATTCCTATTTAAACCTTTTTTTTTCTCTGATAGGTGATAAATCTAATGGTGAGAGAAGTGACTCTCCAAACAGTGGAATAGGCACTCCAGGTTCAACTCGAATGGTCACTAGGTTACGAAATCCAGATAGCAAACTCAGTCAGCTGAAAAGTCAGCAGTTTGCTGCTGCAGCACATGAAGCAAATAAGCTTTTTAAAGAAGGCAAAGAGGTTTGTGTTAGTGCTGAAATCTGATTCATTGAAATGCCAAAATAATAAGCGT